TAGAAACATTAGCTATTTTTTGGAAGCAGGAGTCATGAAAAATGAGCAACGCTTTCGCTGGGAATCAAACAACAGACCTCTGGAATATGCGCCCAGCGTGCAGATCACCATACCACGAAGGCATGCCAAAAAGGCGGGAGAAATACCTTCATCAGGAGGAAAATGGTCTGCAACGAAATGAAAAGCAGAGTGACCCAAAAGTTCTTTAACATTTGAAAATTGAATAATTCACGGAATAATGTAGGTAGAGATGTAAAAATTGACATACTTGCTTGAAATGACATGAAGTTTTATTGAAAGCAAAACAACTGCAAAAAAAGTCCAACATATGGCAGTATAATGTCAGTGACGCCGCATGAGAATCGTGTTTGAAATGAGCTGTAGTGATAGAGAGAATCAGTCCGCTCATGAGTTTGTGACTTTTCTATCCTCGCCTCCGGGTGTCGGTCTCGGTGTGGTGTGGATTTATCACATGAATCGTGATCGCATCCTTCGAGAAATGCGTGGTTTTGCTTTTCAAGCTGTCAATGTGATGAGCGCGAGAAGTGTTGATATATTACAGAATCCTATCATCCCTAGTCTGGATGATAAACACCTGTTGGAATCTATGGCGTTTCTGCAGGATGGCGGTCCACCCCATATTGCTACACGTGGGAAGGATCTCTTGCATCCATCGTTTGGTGAGGATCGCACTCTGATCCGCCACTTCTGTCATGCTTGGCCTCTCATGTGCCCAGATCTCAATCCGTGATGATGGGATGCTAAATGGCAACATCCGACGGCAATTTCTCACCATATCCTATACAATACTGTTCACAACATTGTACCTCGACTACATGTATTGTTGATGAAGGACGGCCGACATGTTGAGCATTTGTTATAAAATCATATCCTTTGTTGAAAATGAACAGTTATTCTAAGTATTGCTTTTGTTATCATATGAAGCGCCATCTGTTGTCCGTTTTAATCACTTTTTTTTTTGCTTTCAATAACACCACGTGACATTTCCTGCATGTGTGTCAGATTTTAACCCTCTACTTATATTATTCAGTGATTTATTGAATTTTCAAATGTTAACGGACCTTTGAGTCACCTTGTATACCAAACGCAACGAAGTAATATGTGGTAAAAATACGGCTGGGGCCTATACACATCGTTTCAGATGTTTTTGCTCTTGATGAAAGGGGAAACTGTGGCTGCATTCCTTAGCGTTTGCAGAAGGTATTTTTGCAGTCTGACTCTCTTTTCCAAGAACACACAATCTTTTATTTTAGCATTGCAGACCCCACATTTTGCTTATATTTCCCCAAATAAAATTTTAAAACTTTTTATTATACACACTTGCGTTCTATGTACAATTCCTTTCTTTCATGATTTACTTATCAAAGAATTCTTCGCCATTTTTTCCGAAAGTGAAAAACCGAATTTGTGAAATCCAGGTTAAATTTGACTAGGCTCGCTGCTAGTGGCAAAAGAAAAACATTCCACGGTAAATTACCACCTCTCTTTTTTTCACCATAAAATAAAACGCTCTACAAGGCATCTAATGTAGAAATCACCTAATGTTGCATTTTACCAAACGCACGTTCCAAAAGAAAATGAAAGTAAAAAAATAATAAAAAAAGCAACAAAATAAAAAAGAAAATGGCAGTTCTAGGCTTAGCAGCGATCAAACAGAAACCTACGCTGCAAACAAGATGTACAAGGCAAAAGAATAAACAAAAAAAAAAAAAAGTACGAGAAATAAAATACAAATGTTCAAAGAAGCTAGAATAGAGCAAATGCTTTTATCGTCTCACAGTCATAGAAACGTGCTCTGGGTCCGAGAGTCTTCGATGAAACAGACAGCTCTGCGCGTATACTACAGCGTTGGGAGTTGAAGTGCTTTTTCCTCTGCTTTAAATAACGTTCCGCTTTCGCTCCGTGTTTTGAAATAAATTGGGTAAATTACGTTGTTTCTCCTATGGTTCTTAACGCGAAGCTTTTGCAAGGGAGAAGAGGAGGTCTTTCCTATTCATGCATTCTAAACTAGCGTCGGATATGTGCTGAATGTTTTGCGCCTAATTTGCAGGAATATGAATTCCAGCTATTCTTCGTGAAAGCTGCTTTATGCTTGCATATTCTACGAGAATTTAACTAAATGTCTTTTTTTTTATCTAATGCTTTTCGTTATATTTAATTCTGAATAGGGTTTGTTTAAATATACGAGACCAACTATAACAGAGGGGAATAAATATTTATTTTGCTGAAACGCATTTAATATTATTTGATAATATAAGCAAACACACTGCCAGAAGTAACATAAGCTATTATTCTAAAATAACTGATCCTTTATTATAAAACTCCTACTGGTAGGGTGATAACGCTGTTTAATACTAAAATACAATGCAGTGCACGAATATACACAGTATTTGCATTTTATTATTAAACAGTTCACTATTCACATAAATGAAAATTTATCAGATTTATTTGTCTTTTCTGTTTATTTCTTTTGTCAGGTCCCTACTTGGACCTGGTTGAAGGTCATCAGGTCAGATCTTGAGTAAATTTCTGTCAAACGTTTTTGTTTTAACTTTCTTCTCAGGACGTTTTAAAAATTTGACATAATCTAGTCACTCCAACTTACATCTTTTAAAAGCTTTGTTGCCATATTGGCTTTAAATCTATTAATACACTGCCACAATCATGCAACAAAGATTGTTAAATAATGACTGTGTAAAATAATTGAAAACATGATGAAATAAATTAAACAATTAATTAAAGATAAATAAAAAAATGTCTGAAAGGTTTCAGCTTTTAAATTGCGTCCAAAGGGGCGTTTTAAACATTTTGTGGATTACTTTTATTTATTAAATATCATGTGCTTCGAACTTAAACCATAAAATTCAGTTCAATAGCAATATCGCAAAATAATTTTAAAATGAGCATATCTTTAGAATTTCTGATACAGAGTCTCGCGCGCTGAAGATAATTTTTTTTTTTTTTCGTACAGTGTTGCTATTGTTCGTTTTGAAATCGTTGAGTTTGTTAATCAAAATTTCGTAACAAAGTTTTACAAAATATGAAATAGATAACAAAGAAAACTCTAAATTCCAAATTTGGGCTTTCAGATGCCCATATTCGGGAGGAGATGTACCGTTATTCAAAATTTGATGGCTCTAGGTGCCATGGTTTTACCACAGTGCCAGAAACATACATTCATTTATGCAGATGCTTCATTATTTAATTTCTGAAAACCCATTTCTTTTTATATTTTTAGCTTTATTATTAAGCATCAGTTTCTTCGCGCTTACGTCATATAAAATTGTAGATTTCCTGATTCATTGTTAAGTGTTAGCATAGATTTAACTATCATTTTTAATCTTTTCTCAGTTTATTATATCAATATACAATTTTCTTATTAAGATGTTTTAACAGATTTTTTCTTGTTTTATTTCTAACGTCTTAAGTGTTAAATTTATTAATTAACTATCATATTGTTCACACTTATGTCATATAAAATATATTCATATATATATATCATATATATAAAATATATACATATATATTCTTATGTCATATATATTCAGTTGATTAGCAGAATTAGTACAAAACATTTTTAAAACATATAGCGTTTGAGTTTCCCACATACAGTCTCACACGCTAGAGATAAGAATGTTTATTGGGCAAGCATGATACAGCGAGAATATTATTATTGACGAGAAGAGTTTAACAGTAAACAAAGAATGTTTTTCAAGTTTTCCTTTCAGTAACAAAAGGTGAAAAGCCTTTGTCGACAGAAACCTAATTCAGTTAAGTGAGTTCTGGTTTCTAAACAAAACAGATTTATAAAAAACTATATTAAATATATAAGTAACTATATTATATAAGGGCACAAGAAAAATTATAAGCGGAAAGAAGTCTTTATTTACCATGTTAACAAGGTTTTATATGATTTGAAAGGGAGAATATAATGGAAAACAGTCTTTTACAATAGAAACTTAAAATTATTCTTAACGTATTGTTACGAATTTTGAGTTTAGCTAGATATTTTAAATGAAACTACAATTAAAGGTGTTTTATTTTCCCGTGCAATGTAGCGCGTGACGAATTTTAAGAGAAAGTACGCCGAAAAATTAAAAATACAAGAGCACGTGCATTTAACATTGAATAAAAGTTTATCTCTGTTATTGATATTTAATTTGAATAAATTTAATTAACTACTGCGTTAGCCGTAACCGTAATTCTACTCTATTTGTTTTCCAAAAATTGCTATCTCTTGCGGCCGATTTAAAAAGCTATAAAAAGCCAGAGAAAGAACACCTCAGCTCAGTTGCTTAGTTACTTCTAGAGTTTAGTTGTTTAGATAACTGTTGTTGATGATTGTAGCGAATTCGTGGTGCGATCGGATTAGCTTTCTCTACACTTTGAATTGCGTTCTATTTAACGTTTTGGTAGTTTAAAATATAGCTGCTAATGAGATGCATTCCGCTGACCTCATAGATCACGTCACTTATGTATACCTTTTGTAAATAAACAATGCAGATGACCTCAGAGATCACGTGACTTATGTACAGCTAATGCAAACAAGCAAGATCATTCTTCCTCTTCTTCTCTTGTGGAATGTATCTCATTATTGTAATTGTATATTGCGTGATATTGTGATATTGTACGAATATCTCTGAGGAAAAATTCCAGCATTTTGTTTTATTTCTTGTGATAAGAATAATTTTTATTAATTTTTATCTGATTTATGCATTCAATCTATTATCAATTTGTAAGCACGCAACAATATTATAGAAAATATTGTTGTGAAACATAATTAAATTTTTAAGTATCAAATAGCTTTGCATGTTTAAGTACTTTAGGCTTCTGAAACTTTCTTCATTTTCGAAATTTATATAATTTTAAATAGGTTTCAAAGGTTATAATTTTGAGAAATTATAACTTTAAAAAATAAAGCACACTAGAAGATAAATATGCATTTGCCTTTACTAATTTTTATCCTATATTCCTTTCAGATTTTCTGCCAAACTTATTCTTTTTGCATTGGACTACAAAATGAAGATAGACAGGTAATTACTCTTAGTCAACACTTTATTACTCAATTCGTTTACATTGAAAATTTCAGACTTGCAATACAGTTCCAACTTACTGAATGTTTTTACCATATAAAACTTAAAACATTAATATTTAATTAATGAAATGGGCATCGCCACAAAATTTTTACACACAAATACACAACAAATGTGTTGCATTTTCAGCATTTAAAGTATATACAAATTGTAAGGTTTTCATATGGATTTCATTTTATGAGCACTATTCAACTTACGGGGATTTTTTTCGTCTGATTTGTATAAACACATTAGGAAAGACTAAACATAACCTTTTAAAAAATTAAATCTGAATTTTCTATTTTGCAAGGAGGTAGCTCGCAATTTTTAAAATACACATGTTGTTTACAAATGCTATTTATGATACAATAACATACCGAACAAGTATTAATTTAGAAGTCAAACAACTAAAATCAGTGTTGTATTTTCAAATTTTCACAGGATGGATTTCGATGGTTTTAAGGAACCATCATCCTCAGCTGCCAAAGCGCGAATGAACGAGATAAGATACAGTGATTAAATAAGATAAGATAAGAATGGCTGGACAGGAGTTAAGCTACTGGCGCCATCTGTTGCTGACGCGAAACGAGAACTAAAGCATAATTTCCTTAAAGTCAGAAGGCAAAGATGTATTGGAATTAGGGTTGTTAACTAGAAACAGAAAAGTTTTTTTGAATGTTAAAAGCCTCCAGAAAATCTATCAGTTAACTATAAAATTTTACGTATTTTACAGAAATTTAACTTTCGGGTCGGTTATTCTCCTATCAATAAAATTCCGAGTTCCATACTCAAGGACCCCATTCCGGATGTGAATTCCTGGGGTATTTACAGGGTTCATTGCCAGTGTGGTTTAATTTACATTGGTCAAACTAAGAGAGGCTTAAAATTTCGCGTTAAGGAATATGAGGCATATGTTAGGAAAAAGGAAACGCAGAAGTCTTCTGTTGCCCAGCAATGCAGGTCCGAAAATCACATTTTCAATTTTTCTGCAGGCAAAATTATTCAAAAAACATCTTCCATTGATGAATTAGATTTTCTAGAGGCATTTCACATTCAAAAAACTCTTTCTGTTCTAGTTAACGATCCTACTTCCAATACATCTTCGCCTTCAGACTTTAAAGAAATTATTTTCAGTTCTTGTTTCATCAACAGATGGCGCCATTAGTTTAATACCTGTCCAGCCATTTTTATCTTATCTCGTTCATTTGCGCTTTGGCAGCTGAGGCTGATAGTTCGGTAAAACCATGGAAACTAGTCCTGTGAAAATTTGAAAATATAATTGTGATTTTTGTTGTTTGGCTTCTAAATTAATAAATGTTATTTAAGTTACAAAAATTGTTATTTTTCCTGAAACGTACCATTGGTATACTCCACAGATTTCAGCTTTTTAATGATACTGAAGTTTCAACTACATAGATGTAACATTTAATCGAAATAAGAAAAGAAAGAAGAAATGCTCCTAAAAAAAAGAAATTGCTCCTAAAAATGCTCCTAAAAGACAAGTATGAAGATGTATATACATAATAATGAAATGATCCTCTTTCAGCCTTCAGAAATAAATGACTAGAATCAATTAATTATACCAAAATTGTAATTCATTGGATGATGCTGGATTCATAGGCGTAAGCGTATTTCCATTGTACTCCTCAAATACCAGTATAAGTTTGTATTAAGAAATTTACTCCAAAATGTGATCAGTGAGGTATTGCACGTGATTTGCGAGAATGTAATTCATTTAAGCGCATATCTGCCAGTGAATGCTTTAAAGAAATAAAATTCAACGTGGACAGCATATCTCTAGCCTCGGGGATAAGATGAACTTCTAGCTATATTTCAAAATTTAACCCTATTACTGCAAAATCTAACATTTCCACCCTCGGAAACCACAGTAAACCTCAATGATATTCTATTGCAGATTGTACATTCACTTTCAAAGCCTTTGAATCAATTTAATTCTTTGATTTCAACGATATAAGGCTAGCAGGGTGATAAGACAAGATATGAAACCGTAATAAGGTGACGGAGTATCCTTTGATAAAACTTCTAAAAATTTCGTAACTTCTTGCTGTGAAATTTGCAGCGGAAGAATGCATTATGGCTCATCTATTGATTACTGTCTTTTGTGACTGCCAACAAGAAGTTACGCGTGAATTCAACATGGAAGACTCATGCAATGTTTACGTGCCCAGAGGTGCCTTCAGTGCAACATTCACGATGAAATCTTGTATTTCAGACTTCTGCAAAGGCGGAATTCCTCCGTGATATTTAATACTGCTGGAATATGTTTAGCGCCTATTATTGTGCTACAATCAAAAACAAATAAATTCTAACGCCCAATTATGTTAAAGATATGCTCTGAAACGAAAGATTCATTTTTAGGTTGTTGGGATGTTATGCTGTGACTCTTTCGCAACGGTAGAGGCCAAAACTTATTCCTCTCAACCATCTGAAACGCCCGAACGTATCAATTTTAGTTGGAATAGATTTCGTTTCCCCATGCCAAGTAGAATGCTATAGCATTAAGAATAAACTACTTAACTGAAGTATTTAGATCTATCTTGGGGGATCTCTGTGAGGCTTCACCCACTGTGTGCAGTTTTCCTTTAGAACAGAATTGCAACTATGAACATCAATAGTTAAGCGTTGAGGCTAAACGAAGGAGAGGGAAGGTCCATTCAAATGAAAAAGCTAGTTTTAGTCGCTTCAAAAGAACGATTGGCATGTCATTAAATTCCTACTATCAGCTCGCACTTTCCCTAAATCTTGTTCAAATTTTCAGTCGTTAATAAAATACTTTTTATTCATCCACTCAAGTTCAAATATATTTCTTAAACTTGTAATGGATGACACTTGATGTTAATAAAATTTTTTGCACATATTAAAAGTGTTTTTAATTTTTAATTTTAAAAATTTGCTTCGTATTTTTAATTTTATTTTGTATTTTTAATTTTTTTTTGTTGACCTAAGTAAGAATTTAATTTTTTATTCAATTAATTATTAATTCATTAATTTTCAGTCGCTAATAAAATATTTTTTATTCATCCAGTCAAGTTCAAATGCATTTTTTTAACTTTGAGTGGGTGACACTTGATGTTAATACAGTTTTTTCAGATATTAAACATTTTTTTAACTTTTTAATTTAATTTTTTTTCGTATTTAAAATTTTTTCTTTGTTGACCCAAGTAGGAATTGACTTTAATTTTTTTTATATTACTTGTTTAAGAACTCGCGAAACCTACGAGCCATGCACTGATGTTCTGAGGGTAAAGCACCAGGTAGTAAATGAACTCAGGCGTTCGGGATAACTGCCAAAGTTTAAGTGCACGGGCGTTTCGGGCGACTACGCTGTGAAAGATTTAATAGAAATTGAATAACGATTAAGGAATCACAATATTTTTAGTTTTTAATACCATCTCCTTTACACGGGAACTAGAAATAAGAAAATATTTAAAGTTGCTTTTTTATTTCAGCTGCCGAGTCCAACATTTTTTTACGGGAGCTCATGAAAGTGCACCATATTTATTACTTTTTATGTTCATATTTTTAGCTAATTTACAACAAGATAGTAAAAATAAACAGTCGAAACAAATGCAGAGCGTTATGGTTAGCTAAACAAGATAATAAACTCAGAACACAATTTCTTACACTAAAATACATTTGACTACATAAAAATCGCAAAAAAACGTCTTAAAGTATTTCTTTCAAAGAGTATTAAATATGAAGATTCAAACAATCTTTCCTTTCTATGTTCATTTGTTAAGTTTTAGAATATGCAGATTGATCGAGACAAAGTTACCTTAGTGCAATTATTTTTTCTTCTCAGGAATGAATTACTACTGGATCTCGTTCCTTCTAAAGGAGGCAAAAAATCTCAGTTATGCATGAAAACATATCATCACTTTTTTCCCGCTTACCGAAGACCCGGCGAAGAGAAAGATGAACTAATTATGTCTACTCAACAAGAAATGGATCATGCATGGAATGTGGTCGTAGCTTGCAAAAATCAGGTATGTTTCTTTAATAATGTTTTATTAGTTGTCCTATAATCTAAGTCGAGTTCTTTTAAAATCCAGATTTCCTTTGTAAGCCTTCAAGAAAAGGGATAGCTATAACAAGCTATATCGTAAAGTTTTCTATTTCCTTCGAAGAATTTTCGATTTCGTTTTTGATTCCCTTTCGTTTTCGATTTCGATTTCGTTTTCATTTCGTTTTCGATTTCGTTTTCGATTGGTTTTAGATTTCATTTTCGATTCGTTTTCGATTTCGTTTTCGATTGGTTTTCGATTTCTTTCGAAGATTTTTCGACTTCCTTTCGTTTTCGATTTCCTTTCAATTTGGGAAGTTCATGTTTGTTTTACTCAGTTATCTTTGCTTACATCTAGTTATTTTAGAAATAGTTTAGCTCAACATTACATACAGTGGATGGACAAAAATATGGAAACACCTTGTGAAATGCATGTTTGAAAAGAAAGATTGATTTTAATGAAATATGTAAGTGGCGCTGGCTTTTTTGACTACTGACGCCATCTATACAACTTCGTAAATGTGCTAAACAGTTCAGTTGTTGTCGGAGTACTGTTATGTGAGGTTGTCATTGCATTATGTCAGAGTTAACAGACTTCGAACGTGGGCAAATTGTTGGAGCACGTATGGTAGGTGCTTCCGTAAGCAAGGTAGCCGAGGTGTTTAGTGCTTCAAGAGGTACTGTATCGAAGATTTATTCCGCATATTTGAAAAGCGGAAAAACATCATCTGCTAAATCACAGCACGGACGAAAGTGTGTCCTGAGTGATCGTTACAGACGATCATTAAGGGCAATTGTGACGAAAAATAAGAAGACCACAGCTGCAAAAGTTACTGCTGAAATGAATGTTGTGTTACCGAACCCTGTGAGTACCAAAACAATTAGAAGAAAGCTTCATAAACAGAGAATTGCTGGCCGTGCTGCAATTGAAAAGCCACTCATCAGTGATGCTAACGCCCGTAACAGGAAAAGGTGGTGTTTAAGTCATAAAGCCTGGACTATAGAGCTGTGGAAGCGAGTAATATGGTCTAACGAGTCTTCTTTCACATTGTTTCCCACTTCTGGCCGAGTTTACGTCTGGAGAACGCCATCGCAAGCCTATAATACAGACTGCTTGTTGCCAAGAGTGAAACATGGCGGGGGTTCTGTTATGGTTTGGGCAGCCATATCGTGTGTCAGGGCACATGACTGCCAAGACTTATGTGAACATTTTGGCCGATCAAGTTCATCCCATCGTACAAACTTTGTTCCCCGATGGTGATGGTGTCTTCCAAGACGACAAAGCCCTGTTCACACAGCTCACATTGTCCAGAACTGGTTTTCTGAGCACGAGGATGAGTTGTCCAATCTTCCCTGGCCACCACAGTCACCAGACCTGAATATTATCGAACCTTTGTGGTCTACATTGGAACGGAGAGTGCGTTCTCGTTATCCACCGCCAACATCGTTATCTGAACTTGTTTTGCAGGAAGAATGGTATAATATTCCCTTGGCAAACATACAGGAACTGTATTTATCCATTCCGAGAAGACTGCAAACTGTTTTGGATGCCAACGGGTTTCCTACACCATATTAAGCAAAGAAACATGTTTTTTTAAAGGTTGTTTCCATATTTTTGTCCAACCCCTGTATATCTCAATATATTATGTAGTTAAAATATAAATTTCCTTTCTTTATAGCGTCATAGAAGATTGCTAACACTTATCGTTTGGTATGATTATTTTGTTTTAAGAAATATTGGTAAAATGTGTTTCTTTATAGCCATTTTTTGATTTAAAATGTTAAGATTTTATAGCTTATTAGCGGGCAATCTCGCCAGTTGAGCGGGCTGCAGCCAAAGCAAAATTTGTAAGTTCTATTTTTTTTTTTACCCCTGGAAATCAAATATATGAAAACGCTTCAGTATGTAAGAAATTAGTTTATTCTTTTCAAGCCACAACCATTTCATAAGTATTTTTTTATTGCCGAGCTAGGAAACAAAACCTTTTGACACTTTAGGTTAATACGTACGACGTCCTGATTTAAATTTAATGTAATATAACAACATTTTCTCAATATCAATAAAAGAATTAACGTGAAAACAAGATACCGTGTCAATTATCCTAACTGAATCAAAAGAAATTGCCAACAGTAACTAATTATTTAAAATGCAGACATTAACGAAACATTTTCGACATACAATGACGCCACATGCAGTCGCATGCTTTCTTCAACGTCAGAATATAATCTTATATAATAATAATGTATTTAAAATTTGGCAATGCTATTCTTATTTCATATATTAACAAACTCTACGATTTCAAGAGCAGAGGCAACACTTTCTGAAATAAAGCATTTATATTTCTAGCGATCAAAACTGTTGCCAGTCGGAAAAAATGAGTGCGAAAATTAGTGTTTTCAGTTTTTAATTAATATCTCGGCTGATTAAAGTCGTACAAAAATAGGAACAGTCAAAATGCCTTCTTACGAATTTTTGGAATTGGGAATAATAAATTTAAATGTTTGCCAATGCTATTTTTATTTCATATTTTGTTAAACTTGCAAATATTTTTATTAACAAACTCTACGATTCGAAAGCGAGCAGTGGCAACGCTTTTCGAAATATAGCAGATTTTTATTTCCAGCTTTGTTGCCACTCGGAAAAATGAAGGCGAAAATGAATGTTTTCAAAGTTTCTTATTAATTTCTCCGCTAATTAACTTCGTACGAAGATGAGAATATTCGAAATTGTTTTCCACGAATTTTTGGAATCTGGGATACGTCTCTGGAAATTCAACTCCCAGCCGTTCCGGAGGGAATAATGCCACAAATAACAGACGTGCATAATTGTAACAGTATAGATAGCTATAAAATATTCTATTTCGATAAATAGTATTTCCAGGCGCTCCCAGTTAAATCGAAGAATATATTTAGAATTATAGTAACTTAATCAAACGAATTCTATTTTTTAAAATACAAAAGTTCATTTATTGGTTCTTTCCAATGTGATGGTAGTTTAACATTATTTTATAATAAACACATTCTTCGGTAAATAGTATAAAACTGTAGAAAATTTTCAGAATATAAAATTCTCTCGAAAACAAAGTTCAACTTGCTTGCAGCTGGGAGACTGTGGGAAAAATAATATGAAACTCTGAAAATTCATTCGCTCACTTTACCGTCAAATTTGACGTTGCCAAAAATGTATTATAAATTAATTTCATTTTGCCACAAGTTTCTGGTTCTTTTCATAAATAATAAAGAAGGATATCATCGTTCTACAGTGTGGCATATGTCTGAAAATCCTGTTTTTCATAAGACGAAAAAAGCAGAATATTTGAAACGGAGTTATTTCAAAGACGTTTGCATATGCTCTAACACCCACTAACTCCCGTTTTTCTATCACCAGCGATCTTGCCTATGTCGTTATAAGCTGCTTTTTTTTTTATTGATTGGAAATTTAATTTAGTTATAAAAGCCGCGTTTTTGCAATTCTGGCTTAACGCAGTAACGAAGGCATTATTTCAACGTAAGGTAAAATTTTATATGCTAAAAGCCTATCAACAGAAACTAACAAGTTTGAACACGAAAACATTTATGGTCCAAATAAAATGATAACGAAAAATTTTCTTAAAGCATTTATTAAAGCACTGTAAATTTATAAAATGTTGATGTTGAAATATAATTCTCGGTGTCCTTTTTCATATGCTTTAATTTCTTAACTACCATATAAGGATCGGTTACTATTGAGCAAAGTAGACAAAAAATCTACAAAATTACTTTAATAGACTAGTAAAATAGAAATTCGTAATTCATCATTCTGAAAGAAATGTAAAATTTCCACAAAACGCTTCTTACGTATTTGAAGAAACAAAATAATAACTAACATAAAAAAATCTGAAAACTTTCAGATTTTACATTACGCCCAACGGGGCGTTTTTTTAACGGTTTGTGTGTTACCTCTATTTATTAAATATCATGTTCTTCGCACTTAAACCATAAAACTCAATTCAACAGCAATGTTGCAAAATAATTTTAAAATGAGCATATCATTAGAATTTCCGATACACAGTCTCCCGCGCTAGGAGATAATTCACACATGTTTTTTTTTCGGTACGTGTTGCCATTACTCGCTTTGATCAATTGTTGAGTTTCTTAATCAGAAAATTCGTTAAAATGTTTACAAAATATGAAGTAATCGATAATAAAACAAATTCCAAATTAGGGCTTCCAAAAGCCCATATTCGGTGGAGGTATTGAAAATTTGATGGCTCTAGCTACCGTTTTTTTATCACAATGCGAGAAACATATATACATTTATGCAGATTCTTCATAATTTAATTTCTTTAAATATAACACAGGGAGATAATATGAAAGATATAAGAGAGATAATATGATAATATAATATCAACAATATGAAAAGTGAAATGGACATTTAAAGTTTTCAACGCAAAATACCAAAACGAAATTAATAGCCCTTTTGGGATAAATATTATAGCAACATATTCCGAACATTTGTCTATCTTTTATCAGTTTTTGCGAAAACATAACATTAAATGAATTATGTACAGATTCAAAAGCTTGCCCATTTTTGTCGTTTATTAAACACAGCTATAAAATAAAAACAGATTAAATGTTCCTTTGTCTGAGGTGTTTTAAAGTTAAGCCTAATTTCGAATTATAAAAATGAAATTTTTGGAAATTAAAATATATAGAATGTTTGCTTTTTTAACTACTATAATAACTTTAGAATAAGTAATAAAAGTAATAAATTATTAAAATTTGCAAAAAAGTACTAATTCCATTTCTTTTATAGAACTGAAGACTTTTGAAAAAAATTCCGCCATCGGAAGAATAGTCAGTTTTGTTTTGCAGCAGAAATAGCCTGTTGATTTCATAAAATCGTAGTTTTAAAAAAGAAAAAAACTTGAAAATGGAATAGCATTATAACTCAGAGTTATCTTTAAAATGAGCTTTCTAGTAATGATGATTTAAAGCAAAAGA